ACAAGCAGTCAGAAAGAAACAATTCAAATATCATGGAGCCACAATCAGAATAACACAAGATTTAACAGCTTCTACATTAAAGGATCCAAGGGCTTAGAATGTAACATTCCAGGGAGCAAAGAAGGTAGAATTACTACCAAGAATCACCTACCTAGCAAAACTGAGCATAATCCTTTAGGGGAAAAATAGACATCCAAAAAAACAAAGGACTTTCAAGAATTCCTAGTGGCAAGACCAGAGCTGAATAGAAAAATTTAACTTTCAAATATAAGACTGAAGAGAAGCATGAAAAGGTAAACAGGAAAGAGAAATCATAAGGAATTCAATAAGGTTAAACTCTTTATATAGGAAGTTGGTACTTGTAACTCCTAAGAATTTTCTCATCATTAACACAGTTAGTAGGAGTATACATAGACAAAGGGCATGGGTGTGAGTTGAATATGATGGAGTGATCTCTAAAAAAATAAAACTAAGGGGTGAGAAAGAATGCACTGGGAGAAGGGGAAAGGAAGAGGTAGAATGGGGCAAATTATTTCATGTAAAAAGAAGCACAAAAGAGCTTTTACAGTGAAGAGGAAAGTGAGGGAGTCCAGGGAAGGTGAGACTTACTCTCATTTGGAATTGGCTCAGAGAGGAAATAACATACACAATAAGTTGGGTATAGAAATCTATTTTACCCTACAAGAAAGTAGGAGGTGAAGGAGATGAGAGAAGGGGGAAGTGATAGAAGGGAGGGAAGATTGGGGAAGGCAGTAATCAGAAGCAAAATACTTTTGAGGATGGATAGAATGAAAGGAGAGAGAGAGCTGGATAAAAGGAGAGAATGGGGTGGAGGGAAATATAGTTAATAATTATAACTGTGAAAAAAATTTATAGCAAGTATCTCTGATAAAGGGCCTTATTTCTCAAATACATAGAGAACTGAGTCAAATTTATAAAAATGGTCAAAGGATGTGAACAGTTTTCAGATAAAGTAATCAGAGCTGTCTATAATTGTATGAAAAATTGCTCTAAATCACTATTGTTAGAGAAAGCAAATTAAAACAACTCTGAGGTACCACCCCTCATCTATCATACTGGCTAATATGACAGAAAAGGAAAATGGCAAATATTTGAGGGGATATAGGGAAATTGAGACACTAATGCATTGTTGGTAGAGTTCTGAATTGATTCAACCATTCTATAGAGCAATTTGGAGCTCTGCCCAAAGGACTACAAAACCATGCATACACTTTGACCCAGCAATACTACTACTAGGTCTGTATCCCAAAGAGATTAAAAAAAAAATAAAAAAAAAACAAAAAGGAAAAGGACCTATGTATACAAAAATGTTTATAGAAGGTCCATTAGTCGTGGCAAAGTATTTGAAATTGAGGGGACATCCATTAATTGGGGAATGGCTGACCAAGTTGTGGTATATGTGATAGATAGATAGATAGATAGATAGATAGATAGATAGATAGATAGATAGATACACACACACACACATATATATATGTACGTATATATATATATATATACGTACATATATATATGTATATAATAAGAAATAATGAGCAGGATGCTCTCAGAAAAACCTGGAAAAACTTGCATGAACTGATGCAAAATGAAATAAGTAGAACCAGAAGAACAGTATACACAGTAACAGCAGTATTATTCAATGATTACCTGTGATTGACTTAGCTATTCTCAGCAATACAGTGATCCAAGAAAGAAATTCCAAGGACTTATGATGAAATATGGTATCCATCTCCATTGAAAGAACCGATAGAATCTGAATGCAGATCAAAGTGTACTTTTTTTTAACTTTCTTTATTTGGGGGTGGGGGTGGGGAGCTACTCTATGTTTTCTTTCACAATACGACTAATATGGATAATATGTTTTGCGTGACTGCACATGTATAACATATATCAAATTGCCTTCTCAATGAGGGGGTAAGGATGGAGGAAGGGAGAGAATTTGGAACTCAAAATTTTTTTAAACAGGTATTAAAAATTGTTTATTATGTAACTGGAGAAAAATAAAATATTAAAAAATGTAAAATGTAAAATAAAAAAATAAGTATTAGAAGGAAGACACTAGAATTAAAAGGAATTGGGAAAGGCTTCCTTTAGAAGGGATTTTAGTTGGGACTTAAAGGAAGCCAGGGAAGGCAGTAGGTAGAGATGAGGAGAGAAAGCATTCCAGGCCTATGGGACAGCCAGATAAAATGCCCAGAGCAAGAGGTTTTGTATTTGATGTTGGAGGTAATAGGGAATAGAGTAGTGAATGTGATGTGGTCCCAATTGTGCTTTAAGAAAATCAATTTTGGATTGGACTGGCTCAATGGAGGATGAACTGGAGTAGGGAGAGACCTGAGGAGGGCAGACCCACTAGTAAACTATTGTGGTAGTCCAGGTGTGAGGTGATGAGGGTGATGGTGATGTCAGATGAGAGAAGGGGACATACTGGAGAAAGATTGCAAAGGTGAAATTGACAGACCTTGGCAATAGATTGGATATGGGGGAGGGGAAGGCATGGTGAGAGAGAATGAGGAATTGAGGAAGATTGAGGTTGGGAGCCTGGGAGCCTGGGAGGATGGTATTGCCGTGGATAGTAATAGAGAAGGTAGGGGGAATGGGAGAGTATAAGGAGTTAGATAATGAATTTGATTTTGGACATGTTGAGTTTAAGATGTCTACTAGACATTATTTCATTTTATCCTCACAATAACCTTGGGAAGCGGGTGCTATTATTATCCCTTTTTTACAGATGAGGAAACTGAGAAAGAGGTCAAGTTACTTGCTCAGGGTCACACAGCTAATATCTGAGGTCCAATTTGAACCAAGTCTTCCTAACTCCTGTGTTCTATACATTGCACCACCTAGCTATCTGTAGCATATGCTTAGTAACAGTGTTTAGGTAAGTTTATTTTTGAGCTAGGCTGTTTTTTTTTTCCCTTTGAGTTCAGAAGGGGGCTAGCAACATACCTTTTGAAGGAGGGAAAGGAGAAAAATCTTACCCTGTCTCTCTTCCATTTTATCCTCTAGCCAGTCCCCTACTCATCTGTGGAATTATCAACAATGGTGTATTTTGCATAATTGAAAGAGCATTGGAACTGAAATTAGAAGACCTGCATTCTAATCCTGGGTCCGTTGCACTTTTGGGAAATTCATAAATTTTTTTAGCCTCAGTTTCCTCATCAATAAAATAGGGATACTACAGAAGGTTGTTGTAAAACTCATTATCTCGATAAGATGTATATGAAAGTGCTTTGGAAACAATAAAGGGCTACATAAGTATGAGATGTCATTACAACAACATTAAACTCAGCATAGGAATATTTTATACTATGGCAGAAAATATAGCTGGCTATTATATCACGACATCATAATTGTTATCTGTTTTAAGATGGTTTCACCATAGGCCATACTTTCATTATTAAGTCCCTAGACCTGTATGGATTGAAGTGAATTGGAGTGATGCTACCTTATATCATCACTTCATTTATGTATGTAGAAGAGGTCATCCCTTTTCTTCAGATGTAACCTGTAGCCTAGGACCTACTAAGACTTTAGGTTTACCTACATGACCTAAAGGGGTTTGTTATCCTTCTTTGGAGTATTACCCGTACCTGGACTTACTTTAGCAAAATCTTCAAATATAGCATACTCATATCTTGATTTCCCCAAATGTAGGTAAGGAGTCCTCAGCTCCCATACAAACATTCAGGGGGCCAAATTCAAATCAAATGCAAAGAATTCACAGTAGGCTATAAATAGAGAAACACGTAAAGCATTCACAATACCAACCAGTTCCCCTTGAAAGAGAACTGAACTCAGGGTCACCATTGGAGCAATCCTTTGAAATTCTGTTAGATCCATATTCTTCCTAGAGGGTCCTACATAGTATCTTCCAGAATCAGCATCACCCTGTGGTTTGGAAGACAAATATGTTTTGAAGTTTGCTTTACAACTGGCCTGTATTGTCTAAATAACACCAAGTAGGATGCTATTCATAAATGAAGGTAATTTTCTTCCCTTTCTAAGGAGCATGATGCCCCAGGAAATCTCCACAGTTTAACAATGGGAAACTCAGGGGCAGGTAGGTGGCACAATGGATAAAGCACTGGGCCTGGAGTCAAGAGGACTTGAGTTCAAATCCCACCTCAGACCAAATACTTGACACTTACTAGCTGTGTGATCCTGGGCAAGTCGCTTAACCCCAATTGCCTCACCAAAAAAAAAAAGAAACTCAAATTTAAGAATTCTTGAATTTAGGGATACCCTCCAAGGCTGAAGATTCTCCTTTGGGGCAAAAGGAACATGCACATGTCTCTTTCTGTCATATGCTTATTCAGAAAAGTCCACTATCAGAATCTCTCTTCTCAGGCCGTATTATGCAATCACATGCAACTTTCATGTGTCTTTCCCAGATGAACCATTTCCGGTTCCTAGGGGAAGGAGACAGGCTTCCTTGCCACACTACCAGGCCTATTCAGCCATATGTTCTTTATTAATCTATCTTCCTCATGAGGAGGGCAAGCTCGCCTGACAGTGGACCTGTGTAGACCTCAGAGAGGCTCCTAACACCAGGGCTCATCCTCTTAAGCTGAATCAGCCAAGCATCAGGAGTCTCTATGTCCCTTTCTCTCCATGGACTGGTGCAGCAGGAATCCTCAAGGCAAAGGCTTGGGGCTTGAGGATGATTGAGGAATTCATCAAAGTATAAAGAATTTCCTTAGACCTTTTGTTTCTATTGTAAAATCTTACAGCTAGAAGGGAATTTCAATGTCTCTTAATCTTTCTCATTCTTTTTGCAGAGAAAGGAGCTCTTTTCCCTGAATAGGGAAAGAGATTTTAAGCCCTTAATTAGTGGCAGAGCTAAAATTAGAACTTAAACCTCCTGACTCCTCCAAAAAAAGAAAGAAAAACTTATTCAAGAGAAAGTTGAACCCATTTAGTTTGAATTTTATGAATAATAGAGGGGAAGAAATGAAAGTGAAACTTTGTCTTTTCAGATTAAAGTTGAAAAATACCTTACTCCTTGGCAAAGAGAACACGCAGAAAGAGCGGCAGCCCTTGAATTACAACAACGCCTGTTAGCTGAGGTATGACATGTTGTTAAATCACACATGGTCTTTTCTATAAACATACTTGTATTATTAGTTTTTCAAATATATAAAGACATATAAATATAAAAGACAAAATATTTTGTAATTTATCAGTGAGAAATGTTTTGGGAAGAGCCTAATTCTACACACACACACACACACACACACACACACACACACACACACACTTTGGTTGCATGGTCTTAGAAGATTATTGCTAATAGAGTCTGAATGCTTTGATCTATACCTTCTATCTCCTCTCACTTTTGGTTATTTTTTCCAGAAAGATGATTTAAGACGTCGTGCTTTGATGGACATGATGAATGGAGTTTTGGAAGTAAAGAAAGAAGATATTTTGAAGATGGTAATGGTTCTATCTAATCATGGAAGGTAGAATAAGAAAGATGAAAGTGAGAACTAGAAATTTTATAATTCACCATTTTTCTCAGATGGAACTGAGTTTTAAAAAATTCTAAAAAAGCAAGCATTCCATAAAATTTTAGTAACTTCAGCTGAGTGGAGTGTTGCATACCTCTAATCCCTTTTATTAGGGGAGGCTGAGCCTGGTAGATTGATTCTAGAGGTCTGAGTTAATCAGGTGTCTGGATTAAATTCAGCACAAATATGGTGAGCCACCAAGATGCACAGGGAAAGACAAACCAATCCAGGACAGCAAACTAGACCAGGATAAAGCATTCATGAATATAAATAAATATTTGGATCAGGCTGTGAGTGGCCACTGCACTTCCAACCTGGGAAAAATAGGAAGACACAGACTCCAAAAAAAATCTTTTTAGTAACTCCAACATTTTAACCAAACACAAAGGAATGTGAAACTTCAGCACTGATTTTCAGACTAAAAGAAAACCATATTTTAATGAAATGAGATTTATCTATCTTGGTAGCAGTGAGGGAAGCTACATTAATAATTTTATACATAATCAATAATTTTCCATTAGTGGTACTGAAAATTCTCTTTGAAATAAAATTCCCTTGTCATAAATGATAGTAAACTCAGGCTAGAAAGATCATAAGAAACAACTAATTGGCCGAAAAGAACTAAACAGCCAGAGCTGTTTCAGTGAGTCCTGGGCCATTTTCTCTGTCATCTACAGTGATGGTTAGTTAGGTTGGTTTCTTTATCATTACCAGTTGTTTCTCACTGTTTTAAGCACATTGTCACTATGTCATATTTAGTAGATCATTTGCTTCTTTGTTCTGTCTTTAGGTAGTTCCTCAGCCTTCCTTTATGGCCTATAAATTGGATGCAATATGGACTGAAGAAGAAAGAAAACAAGCCAAAGAATATGAGAAAAAAGTCAAAGAGTTAGATGAGGAAAAAGACAAGTATAAAAAGGTCAGGTGAAGAGGAAATATATTAAAAAACATGCTTTCCAAATTTAAAATTCATGTGCCTTGGAGGGTACTGTAAAGACAATTATATAACTTCTGTTTTCTCAAAGGGAAGATGTGTAATCTTATATTTTATGAGGAAAACTATTAAATTTAATAACTTATATCATTCACAACAAAAATTACCCAGGAAAAGTAGGGAAAATCAAATACGATTTGTTTCAGTGTATCACTGCCTCTTTTTTTAAAGATACTTTCAGCTCAGTAAAGATTAGGATTAATTACCATTCTCAAGGAGTAGAGCTGTTGAGAGAAGGTTGGGTGTACCCACCAAGTCAAACAGTGTATACCAATCAAATGTGAAGTTGTTTTCTTGCAAATACTTCTGATTTTATTTATTCTTTTGTGAAAGAAGTAAAATTATACAGCATCCAATAGGGCATGTCAACTTGTCAGCTATATGTTATTGTATCTTATGATCAGTTTTTCTGATCCCTATTTTTTTTAGCTGCCTTCTTTTCCACTGAAGTTCTTAGCTGTGTCCTTGATATATTTTATTAGAAAAGGGTTCTTATGTATATAAGGCACAAATGAACAAAAGGTATTGAATGCCAGTGATGCCTGAAGAGTTTTTCCCCCTGTATGTCTAAGGAGCAAGGCTAGAATGCTATCTCTTGGGGAGGTCTGAAAGCCCTTAGTATAGTAGCATTTAGTAAAGCCCTATTCTTTGAGCTCTGGAATCTCACCACTGGTTTCACATGCTTCTTCATTATGGTCTCCACACCTCCACAAAGACTTTTATAGGCAAACTTGTTGTAGTTGAGCACATTTGAGGGAAAGGAATATTGCCCAGTTTAGTACCTTACCACAGAGTCCTACTTGTTTCTTTTCTTTTGCTTCTTAATAAGTCAGAGACTATTCAAATCCAAAAGTAAAAGAATTGAAGAATGCATATGGCTTCATGTTTCACTGAGTTTAATGAGAAACACAGTCATGTCCCCAAGAAACAAAAAGTTACCATCACCATCATCCCTTTTTTGTTTGTTTGTTTACTCGTTTTCTTCCTCAGATAGGTATAGAAAACAGAAAAAAAGATTAGACACAAAGCAGAGTCAAAATGGAAGAATAAAGGATCAAAACTGTCAAACATCTCCCAAAACCTCTCCCATAGGACAACTACAGAAAACATCAAATTGAATTCTGATTGGAAAAGCCAATAAAAAGAGTGAGTCATTGTTTCAACCTAGGACAGCTTAGATAGACAGAGAGATATGTGGACACTGGGGTGGAGACTCTCCAGAAACATGGAATGTGGCTTGTGGCAGAAATGGTACTGGCTCTAGGCCTTAGAGGCAGCAGCTACAGCCACAGCAGCAGGAATGCTGGCTAATTCCTGCTGGGATGCATAGGGATGGATGGAGAGGAGCAATGGCCCCACCTGGGTAAGGACTGGAGTGTAGAGCAAGAGGGCAGTGACCAGATCTCTCCCCAGATCACATTACCTTGGAAACACCAAAAATCTACAGAAACCCAGATTCAGCTCCAGAAGCTCAGGCCAAACAACTGTCTCAGAGGAGAGCAGAGACTAACTCTAACATAAAGCCCAAAGTTAGGAAAGAGGTAGGAAAATGAGCAAACAACAACAAATGAATCTGACCATAAAAAGCTTCTGTGGTAAAAAGAAGACAATGATGGAAAAATGTCTATAAGCAAAGCCTTTAAGAACCATATAGACTGGACACAAGCCCAACCAGAATTCATAGGAGAGCTAAAGAAAGAAATGAAATGAAAACATGACTTTTAAAAAATCATGTAAGGCCCACAGAGGGAAAAATTGAAAAGAGAAATTAAAGCAATGCAAGAAAGTTCTGAAAAAAGGATTGCCAGTTGGTAAAAGAGTAAAAAACCTCACTAAAGAAAATAACTCCTTAAAAATTAGAAATGGTCAAGTGTAAGCTAATGACTGCATGAGACTTCAAGAAACAAGAAAACAAAGTCAAAAGAATGAAAAAATAGAAGAAAACACGGACTATCTAATTGGAAAAACAACTGATCTGGAAAACAAATCAAAAAGAGATAGTTTAAGGATTGTTAGACTACTTGAAAGCCATGATTAAAAAAAGAAGATAGACATTATAGTTCAAGAAATTATTTTTTTTAAAAAAAAGCTGCTCTGATATCTTAGAACCAATGGGTAAAATAGAACTTGAAAAGTTAAATTAATTACAGGAGGAAATAGTAAAACTATACTGGTAAGGGAACTTTACTTACCTCTCTCAGATCTAGATAAATTTAACTATTAAGTAAATAATAAAGAAGTTAAATTGGTATATAGAATTTTAGAAAAGTTAGATATTATAGACTTCTGGAGAATATTGAATGGGAACAGAAATAACTATACCTTTTTTCTCAACTGCACATGGCATCTTCACAAAAATTGACCCTGTATTAGGTATAAAAGCCTCACAAACAAATGCAGAAAATCATCAACATTAAATGCACCATTTGGGGGGCAATAATGCAGTAAAAATTACATTCAATAAAAGGCCTTTGAAGCATAGACTAATAATTGGAAACTAAATAATCTAATCCTAAAGAATGAGTGTGTCAAAGAACAAATCATAGATTGTTTTACAAATGCATTCTACCAAACATTTACAGAACAATCCCAATACTATGTAAATAGTTTTAAGAAATAGGTACCAGATTCCTTCTATTACTCAAATATACTTTTCATTTATTTTTAACATTTATTTTTTAAAATGTCGAATAGCAATTCTGTCCCTCCCTCCAACCCCTGCTCATCACATTGAAAAGTCAAACAGTGTGATACCTATTATAAAGGTAAAGTCATGCAAAACATATTTCCATATTAGCCATGTTGAGGGGAAAAAGCAAGAAAAGGAAAAGGAAAAGCAATAGGCTTCAGTCTGCACTCAGAATTCATCGTGAGTCCTTTGGATTGTCATGGATCATTGTACTGATTAGAGTAAGTCTTTCTCAGTTGATTATCATTATGATATTACTGTTACTGTGTACAATGTTCTCCTGATTCTGCTCACTTCATTTTGCATCAATCATATATGTCTTTCCAGAGTCTACCTATAGAAAGAAAACTGATGGACTGAGTACAGATTGAAGAATGTTTTTTTAAATTTATTTTTCTTGCTTTTTTGTTTTTATTAATTGCAAGGTGCCTAATGTGGAACTGTTTTACATGACTTCATATACATCCAACATCCTTGTTGAGTGGGGAAGAGGTGAAGGGAAAGAGAAAATTTGAAATTGAAATAAAAATTTTAAATTTAAAAAAGAAAGTAAAAAATATAACCCTTACCCAGTATAAATTCTTACATTCTCTTAAAAATGGGGATATTTGCAAAGTAACAGCAGAATGCATTTTCATTCTTAGCAAATGTGATATTTCTATTATCACTAAAGAAAAACTAGAATATGGGCTAGTGCTTTGGGAATAAGATTTACTGGGCTAGTTCAATAAATTAACAAGCATTTATTAATCATCCGACACATGCCAAGTGTTGGGGGTACAAAAACAAAAATGAAATAGTCTTAGCCCCCAAGGAGTTTATATTTTACTAGAGGAGTTTATATTCCATAGTATGTAATTGTGAATGTGAGTTTTGCTTCTTGTTGTTCATGAGTATAATTAAAGATTTGTTCTTAACGTATAATATTTAAATTAAATTTCCTTAGTCAATGACAACATTTAAAGAAATGAATTGGCATGGCTAGCCTACTAGTAACGAATTTCTCTCTGTTGACTTAGGCTGTTCATAGGTAAACAGACTGAGTCTATTATTGAGGGCATATGGAAAGCATGGTAAAAACCTTCCAGTGCTTGTTCTGGATGTCACAGTTTTCAACAACACAGAATCACATCAGAATTGGCTTTATGGAGGAAATAAATGAATGAATGAAAAAGAAGATGCATTGGACATGGGACAAGAGTCAGGCATATCCACTGGATAATGTAGTCCTTTGGTACAGCTAGTGTTTTCGTTATGTCAAGAGAAAGCTGGGAAGGCCCTTACCACCCTGAAAGGGGACCCCTTATAGCAAACTTATAGGAGGATACAAGTAGCCATTGCACAGGATAGACAGGCATGGATAGGTTGTGCTTTTCACTAGAGGGAGTACTCATATCAATTAGATCACAGATTAATTTGAGAAACCAGATTTAAAGGTTTGATTTTATTAAAGTAGAACTTTAGGGAGTTTTATTGTTGTCATTTGTTTCTTGAGAATTTGTTCAATCAGTGGGTATCTAGTTCTAGACTATGTTCTGTTGAACATTCAAAAGAAGAAACCTTATTCCTTGCCCTAAAGGAGCAAGGAATGACTAGACATACCAATGTAAACAACTAGAAAATCACTGCAAAACATCTTTTGAATTAATGCAAGAGGATTAACATACATAGGTATTTCTTGTTTCTATAAGACGCTAACAGCTTGCCAAATTTGACAGGTGATATATAGTATAAATTATTATTATATTATTACTCTGAAAAACATCAGGCACTCATAGGCCAAAGGCTATCCTAGATATGTTCAACTGTAGTGAATCCATCTCTATAGATGTCCAGTCAACTTTATCCATTTGGAAGATTGAGTTGAAGTTGACTAACAGGTTTATCTTATTACCTTGAAGCATGTAACATTACTAAGTCTTAATTTTACTACTCTTTATTTTAGTCGCTGGATGCTGAATTAAGGAAGATTCAGGGGTCTATTGAAGAAACGACACAAGCCTTTAACAGTAGTCTAAAAAGACTCTTTGAGAGAAAGGTGAAAGCAGAAATGGTTATCAACCAGGTAAATGCAGAGCTCATGAACCCCTAAGCTAAGGGTAGTGAGCCCTGGCCCTACAGTATAAATTACCATGCATGGACTTAATTTCTTTCATCCAGATTTCTGAGCTGGAGAATTGAACAGCACTTGATATAAAAACACAAACAAAATGATACCTCAAGGAACTTACATTCAACTGATAATATGTACAGATAAGTAAATACTAAGTGATCTGAGTAGAGAAAACACCAAAAACTGAGGGCATAAGGGAATGCTTTGAATGGGAATTGGTACCCTTGAAGGAAACTCAGTTCTGTGAGGTGAAGGTTAAGAACAGGTGTGGGGCAGCCCCTGGCAAAGATACAGAGAAGATAAATGGAATATCAAGTCCAGGTACTAGTTCATAGGCCATTTTGACTGAAACATGGAACAAATGAAGAAAATTAGCATGGAATGTCTGGAATAACCTAATCCTATCTAGGTTATAGGGGATTTCACATGTCAAAGTGAGTAATATTGTTTCATTTTATCCGAGAGGCAACAGGGACTGATTTTTGAGGAACAAGGTGAAGATTATTTTGCCAGTATAGAGGATGGCTTAGAAAGGAGAGAGAATAGAAAAAAGGAGATTTTTTAAAAAATTACCACAATAGTTCCACTAAAGAGTTAATAGGGGCATAAAGTAATCTTATGGCTATGTGCTTAGAAAGGAGAGTCATGAAAGGGAATGTTGCAGAGATGTAATGTGCAGGCCTTGCCATCTGAGTGAAGAGAGGGATTGAAGGAGAGGGAAGAGGCAAATGACGCCAAGCTTTTGAAGCTGAGTACCTAGAAAGATGCTTCATTAGAAACAGTGAAGTTTAGAGGGAGGACATATTAGAGAGAAAGATAAGTTCTGGTTGGACATTTGATTCTGAGATATCTATGGGATATCCAGGTGGATATAACCAGCAAGAAATTGGTGTTGCAGGGTTAACATTGATTAAGCGATTGTGACTGGATATATTGATATATATCTCTGATTAGAAATTGTAATTGAACTCATGGGAGTTCATAGAGTTCATACACTCATAGAGTGTAGGGAGAGAAGAAGGCCCAGGATAAAGCTTCAGAGATTCATGCTTGATGCTTGGGGTTGAGAGATGGATAATGATCTACCCAGGAGACAGAGAACAGAAAGAGAACAAGGAGAGAGTATCATTATAGAAATGAAGGAAAGAAAAAGTGTTCAAGAAGAACAGTGTGAGAAAATGCAGATAGATCAGTTAGGATGGGAACTTAAGAAAAGGCCATGGTTTTTAGCTGTTAAGACATCTAGAGAAGTAAGAAGTACAGTGAAAACAAGGTGATGAGTGCCTTTGAGGCCTGTAGCAATTTACCTCCAATTAACAATTTGTACAACCTAATGAGCCTCCCATAATCCACAATCTTTATGTTTTTACTTTCTCTATGTCTTGCTCAGTTTGCAGCTCAGTGTCTCTCTCCTCTTGATTGATTAAACTATAAAGTATTAATTCAACACTTTGATAAGCTTAGTGAAGGATACAAAATAAATATTAAATATGGTTCTTCTCTACAAATATTTCACAGTCTAATTGGAGGAAATATGACTAACACATAAGAAACACCAAATAATATGATACAATAGCAAAAATGTTGTAGATAATTAAGTGCTGTAGAAATTCTGAAGAGAAGAAGATTAATTAAGATTTGAAGGGGCCAAGGAAGGCTCCATGGAGGAAACTGAACTTGAGCTGGGCTTTGAAGATTAGATAGGATTTGGGTGTGAAGAGGGGAGTTTTCCAAACATCTCTCACTTCCCCCTTCACTCTCTTTCCCTCTGTCTATTTCCTTCTTTCTTCCATCCACACCCTCAGCTATTTGTAATATATAACCAGCCTACATGGAGTGTTTGTTGTATTGTTTTATGTCACCACTATTTTTTAAAGATAGTACTAGAAAACTTTGTATTTATTTAATTAAATAAAATCTTATTTGTACATATGATCCTCAAATGATTTTATGTGGGGAGTAGGAAGAGTGGATCAGAGAGCCCTTTTAGGCTTCATCAGGTTTTAGTATTAATATATTTTCCTTCTTTAATATTTCCACAGGAGGAATTAAAAATAACCAACCTTGTGTTCTCTTTAGTCTTGGATGAAGAATTAAGAACAAGGGAATTAGGAATGAACAACTTCCTTGAAAGGAAACATATGGAGAAAGTAATTATAGCATCTTTTGTACTGAAATGATCTGTGCTCATTAATCAATTACATGTTCTCATTCTTTCCCTCTCTTTCCCCTTCTCCATGTCCTAGTCCCATATGCTATCCCCAGTTGTTGTTTTTTTATATCTCTGGACCTCAATTTTCTCATCTATAAAATGAGGAGGCTCGGGCTACATGATTTCTAAGCACCTTCAAGCTCTAAATTCTATGAACCTGTAATTTATTGCCTTAAGATATTTTTGGGCAAAGTGAAGTAAGCAGAACCAGCAGTACATTGTACACAGCAAGAGCAGTATCATAATAATGATCAACTGGGAAAGACTGAAGTTACTCCGATTAGTTACAATGATCTAAGACAATTCCGAAGGATCCAAGAGAGAGAACTGATGAACTGAGTGCAGATTGAAGCATATTATTTCTCACTTTATTTTTCTTACTTTTTCTGCAACATAGTTGATATGGAAATGTGTTTTGCATGTCTTCATATGTATAATGAAGATCATATTGCTTCCTTCTCATTGGGTGGGGGAGGGATAGGAGGGAAGGAAAGAATTTGGAACTCAAAATTTTTTTTAAAATGGGTTGAGGGGCTGCTAGGTGGTGCAGTGGATAGAGCTCTGGCCTTGGAGTCAGGAGGATCTGAGTTCAAATGTGACCTCAGACACTTGACACTTACTAGCTGTATGACCTCACCAAAAAAAAAAAAAAAGGAAAAAATGAATGTTGAAATTTTAAAAAAGAATTAAAGGAAAGCAAAACCTGTTATAAACACATATAGTCAATCTAAACAAATTTTCACATTGGCTATGTCCAAAAAATTTATCTCATTCTGTACTCAGTCCTTTACCTCTCATGTTTCATCTTCAGTCCTCTGGAATCATGGTTGGTCATTATACTGATCAGAATTTTTCATTCTTTCTAAGTTGTTTTACTTTGCCATATTGTTATCATTATATAAATTGTTCTGTTTCTGTTCATTTCACTTTGCATCAGTTCACACAAGTCCTCTTTATCATATCTTACAACACAATAGCATTCCATCATATTTATATACCATAAATTGTTCCCTCATCACCCAATTGATGGGAACCAGTTAGATTCCCAATCTTTGCTACATCAAAAAGATTGATAAATATTTTTGTACAAGCTTAGAATTTATTTTGCTTGGATATTAATCCCTTCCTTTGGGTACTTTCCTTCTAATTGCCTCTTCTCTCATTTCCCTCCTAATTCTGTGGAATGAAATGTGTTTCTGTCTCCAAATGTGTGTGCGTGTGTTCTTCTCTCCTTTAATCAGTCCAGATGAGAATGAGGTTCAAGTCCTAGTTTGTATAGAAGTCTACCTGAGCATCCTGATTGTGTGAGATAATTTCCCCTAACCTACTTTTCCCCTCCCCCAAGCGCATACCTCTTTTCCTCTTTCCATTCTTTTAATATCATCAATACATAACAGAACCAGTCCTAGGTTTTATCTAATTAGACTCCCTCTATGACCCCTGATGATGATAGGATTCAGAGGGAATGTATGTATTATCTCCCTATATTAGAATCTTAACAGTTTATTCCTGTTTAGTCCCTTATGATTGTTTATTCATGTTTACTTTTAATGTTTCTCTTAATGCCTATATTTGAACTTCAGAATACCTATGCAGCTCTGGTATTCTCATCAGCAATGCTTATAAGTCCTCTTTTTCTTTAAAAGCCAACTTCTCCCCTGTAGAATTATACTCAGTTTTGCTGGTTAAGTTGCTCTTGGCTGTAATCCTATGTACAGTCTTCTAGAATATCATATTCACAGCTTTCTGTTTCGTTATGTTCATGGCTGCTTCATCTTGTATGTTCCTGACCATGGTTCCTTGCTACTTGAATTCATGCTTTTTGACTCCTTGCAGTCATCATTTCTTTGACCTAGAAGCTTTGCATTTTGACTAAAATGATCCTGGGAGTTTTCATTTTGGAGTTTATTTCAGGAGGTGGGCGGTGGATTCTTTCTCTAGTTTTAAGAGATCTGGGCAGCTATTTTGTAAGATTTCTTGAAATAGGATGTCTAGGGATCTTTATTGTTCGTGATGTTCATAGTCCAGTGATTCTTAAACATTTTTCCTTGCTCTTTTTTCTTGGTCAGTTTTTCATCATGAGATACCTTACAATTTTTTCATTCTTTTGACTTTATTTTAATATTTCTATTGTCTCATGGAATCATTGACTTCTGTTTGGTCCGTTCTTATTTTCAGGTAATATGTTACTTGGGCAAAGTTTTATACCTTTTTGTGCCAAACTGTTGATTCCCTTTCCAATTATTTCTCCCGTAGCTCCCCATCTCTTTTCTACATTTTCTTCTAGCATTTTCATTCATAAAAAATATTTTTAACTCTTTCTTTAAACTCTTCATCTCTTCCAAGAATTCTAGTTGAATTTTTGTTCAAACTATGTTTTTGTATGAGGTTTTACTTATAAATGTTTTGTAGTCATTCTTCTCTTCTGGGTTTGCCTTGAGCTTCCCTGTCACCATAATTGTTTTTTATGATGGGATTCTTTTTGTTTTCTTTTTCTTCCAGACTATTTACTGACTTTAGACTTGGTGTTAGGGCCAGGCTCTGTGCAGTTCTGGAGGGGAGATCTGAACTGGTCCCATTGGTGCTTTCTTGGGATACTAAGTATTATGTTATTCTAGGATTTCAGGGACAGCTTAGGCTGGGGCACTGCAAGCTTTTGGTGTTCCCAAAGTGGTCTGATCCAGGGCAAAATGTAATTGCTCTTCTTGCCCTTGTCTGAGCTCTGCAAAGCTTCTGACTGTATTTGGGTCTGAGCAATAGTAGAATGCTGCTGGACTCAGCCTTTCTCAGCTAGCTGGAAAATTCTGTTGGTTCAGAGCAACAGAACTGCAGGCTCTCCTTTGAGATTTCTGCCCTAGTCATTCCTCATCAGGCTTCAGATTGGGCTAGACATTGGAACTGAGACCCTGCTCTTTTTCTGGGGTCTTAGCCACACCACTGCTAGAGGTTGTTTCTGAACTTGCTCCTTTCTTGAGTTGTAACTCAGGGCCCACAATTGCTCCTTAACCCAGAGCATGCCTTCCTCAGCCCTCCCTGAATCTGTGACCCAGTACTGGGAAGTGTGCAAAAAATCCACCAGTTGGCACCCATTCTTCCAGTATGGATCTCCTCTTGCCCTGGTGCACAGCTTCCTACTGAGTGCTGGAGAGCTCCACAAGGACCGTGTCTCCAGTCTACATGGACCTCCCTATCTCTCTATGCCAACCTGAGCTGGAAAAATAACTTATGTAATTTTTATCTTTGATTTAATCCATCAAGATTCAGTCTGGTGCATTTTAAAAAATCTGTTTGGAGGAGTTTGGGTGGTGAAGTATAGGCTATATTGCTTTCTGCTACTTAGCCATCTTCTAATTTGGCTAAATTCTAGGATCTGAGTTGTAATATGTGGCTGGAAGTATAGATTGAGGGGGCAGAGCCAAGATGGTGGTGTGAAAGCAGTGACTTGCTTGAGCTCTCTCCCAACCCCTCCAAATACCCGTAAAAAAATGGCTCTAAACAAATTCTAAAGCAGCAGAACCCACAAAAAGACAGAGTGAAACAAATTTCCAGCCCAAGACAACCTGGAAGATTGATCAGAAAGTTGTATCGAGGTGGGCTGGGAGCGCAGCGTAGCGCGGCAGTGGGCGCACAGGCCACAGCAAACCTGGAGCAGGCCTCAGAGGACTGAATCCCTGGCAGCTGTGGCAGTTTCCAGACTCCTCAATCCACAAACACCAAAGACAACTTAGAAGGTCAGTGGGAAAAGTCTGTGACAGCAGTGGGAGAGGAGCTAAGTCAGAGCCAGATCCAGAGGGCGCCAGGGCAGTGGCTATGTCCTGAGCTTCCATCCCACAGACTGAGGGGGAATCACATGGCTGATCAGAGGGGCACTGCAGGGATCTCTTTGCTGGTGCTGAGGCAGGAATCTCTTGCTTTGCCCGTGCTTGGATCTGGGTCACAGTTCTGGGTGGCAGTCCTGGGGTGAGGAGGAGCGCTGGCACAGTGGAGCTTGTAGTGGCAGTGGAGAGGAAACCTTCCTCACAGTTCCAAGAGAGAAAAGACTGTTTGTGGTCGGTCACTCAAAGACCAGAGCACAGGCCAGGAAAAGAGTAAACACCTCGCCCCTTATCATACCACCTTGGAAGAACTGAAAATTTACAGGTCCCTACAAGTATCTCTGAAAACAGCTATACAAACCCCCGAAGTTTGGGGGCAGTACATTCTCCACATTGGAAGCAGACTCTTACCTTAACAAAGAGTTTAAAACTCAAATAATTGGCTGGGATCATGAGCAAGCAGTGCAAAAAGAGTCAGACTATATTATCTTACTTTGGTGACAAAGAAGATCAAAACATACAACCAGAAGAAGACAACGAAGTCAAAGCTCCCACATCCAAAGCCTCCAAGAAAAATATGAATCCGTTCCAGGCCTTGGGAAAGCTCAAAAGGGATTTTGAGAAGCAAATAAGAGAAGTAGAGGGGAAACTGGGAAGAGAAATGAGAGTGATGCAAGAAAATGAAAAATAAGTCAACTGCTTGCTAAAGTAGACCCAGAAAAATACTGAAGAAAATAACACCTTAAAAAATAGCCTAACCCAAATAACAAAAGAGGTCCAAAAAGCCAATGAGGAGAAGAATGCCCTAAAAAGCAAAATTGAACAAATGGAAAAGGAAGTCCAAAAGCTTACTGAAGAAAATACTTCCTTAAAAATTAGAATAGAGCAATTGGAAGACAGTGACTTTATGAGAAATCAAGACACTGTAAAACAAATCCAAAAGAATGAAAAATTAGAAAACAATGTGAAATATCTCATTGGAAAAACAACTGACCTGGAAAATAGATCCAGGAGAGAGAATTTAAAAATTATTGGATTATCTGAAAGCCATGATCAAAAGAAGAGCCTAGACATCATCTTTCAAGAAATTATCAAGGAAAACTGCCCTGATATTTTAGAACCAGAGGGCAAAATACAAATTGAAAGAATCCACCGATCTCCCCCTGAAAGAGATCCCTAAAGGAAAACTCCTAGGAATATTGTAGCCAAATTCCAGAGTTCCCAGGTCAAGGAGAAAATATTGCTAGCAACCAGAAAGAAACAATTCAAGTATGGTGGAAACACAATCAGGATAACACAAGACTTAGCAGCTTCTACATTAAGGGACCGGAAGGCATGGGATTTGATATTCTGGAGGGCAAAGGAGATAGGATTACAACCAAGAATCACCTACTCAGCAGAACTGAGTATAATCCTTCAGGGGAAAAAATGGTTATTCAGTGAAATAGAGGACTTTCAAGGATTCTTGATGAAAAGACCAGAGCTGAGTAGAAAATTTGACTTTCAAATACAAGACTCAAGTGGAAATATAGATTGAGGCCAGGTTGTTAAGGGATTTAAAAGCCAAACAGAAAAGTTTTTATTTAATACTTAAGGCAAGAGAGAGATGCTAAAGTTTAGTGAGTAGGGGTTAGATATAGTTTTAAGGAAAATTACTTTGGCACTAGTGTGGAGGATAGATTGGAATGGAGAGAAATTTGTGACAGAGAAACCCCTTAGAAGGGCATTGTAATAATATAGATGAGAGGTATTGAGGGCCTGAACTAAGATGGTGGCTGTAGGAGTAGGGAGAAGAGGTTGGATACAAGATGTATTGTAGAGGCAGAATGCCCAGATTTTGGATATGTGAAGTAAATTTGGATGGAAGAAAGATAGGTTTTGGAGAAAGATAATGAATCCTGTTTTGAACATGTTGAGTTAAAAATGTCTTTGGGACATCCAGTTTTAAAATGTCCTAAAGGCAGTTGGTGATGGGTGGCTCAAGGTAGAGACTGGGGTTGGATATAAAATTTTGTGAGGCATATATATGATATTGGGTATAAAATTTTGTGAGGCATACATATGATAATGAAACCCAGGGGATCTGATGAGATAGTATATGGAAAAATAGTAAGATAGAGGAAAAAAAAAAAAGAGAGCCCAAAAAAAAGAGAGCCCAAGACAGAACCTTTGGAACACTCACAGTTAGAAGGTGTGAAATGAATGACAGGCCAGCAAAGAAGACTGAGAAGAAGTGGCAGACAGGAAGGAAAACCAAGAGAGAGTAAAATTACAAAAACTCAGAGTAAGGAATGGTCAACAGTATTAAATGAAGCAGAAAGGTCAAGAAGGATGAGGACTGAAAAAAAGACCGCCGAATTTGTCCAATAAGAAATCAGTGGTAACTTTGGAGAGAACAACTCCAGTTGAGTGATGAGGTCAAAAGGCAGATTTTGATTTAGGAGTTTAGGGTTTAGGGGTGAGCAAAACAAGAGGCAACCAGTATAGACAGCTTGTTTTAGGTGTTTGGCTAAGAAAGGGAAGACCACATGATGAAGGATAATTGCATGAGAGTATGCTAGGCCAACTGAATTTTTTTTAAAGATGGAAAGACTTGGCCATGTTTAAAGGGAGTAGAAAACCAGTAGATCTGGAAAGTTGGAAGTTAAGGAGTGGAATGACTGAGGAAGCAAATCTGCTGGAGAGGATACAAGGGGATGTGATAAAGAATACATGCATGTAGAAGGGTTGACTTTGCAGCAAGAGGGGCTATCTCAGAGACTAGAGGAAATGATGAGGTATGAAATTAAAGGGTTTTGAGATGAAAAATGAAAAAGAGAGAGAGCTGACATAAAATGTCAGCAGAGTTTTCTCAGTGAAGAGATGAGGAGGGTACATGGAAGGAGAGATATGGAAGGCTTAATAATAGTAAAATTTATTTTTAGCATTTATTTTATTATTATATTTAGCATTTATACATAACACTTTAAGGTTTGTAAAGCACTTTGCATATGTTAAATCATTTGATCCAACCTTGTGAGGTAGGTGCTATTATGAAGAAGAGGAGATTTGGAATAGCTTCTGTGGGGAGTGACATAGGAACTCAATTAGCATAGAATAGAAAGATTGATTATCTTGCTGTAACAAAGTTCCAGTTGAGATTGGATAGAAAGAAAATTGTAGTGTGCTAATCAGCATGGTTGTGTGATTTCTTCCAGTTTGATTTAGCAATACGAGTAGGAGGCAGATGGTAGGAGTAATCTAGAACTGGGATTTGGAAGGAATACATGGCAATAAAAGAAGGAGGTGAGGGATTCCTTTTTTTGTTGTGGGGGGAGGCAGTTGGGGTTAAGTGATTGCGCAGGGTCATGCAGCTAGTAAGTGTATGAGGCTGGATTTGAATTCAGGTCCTCTTGACTCCATTGCTGGTGCTCTATCTACTGTGCCACCTAGCTGCCCTGAGAGATTCTATCATGGAAGATAATGTGGAATTGGAATGGTTAACTATAGGATTGAGACTAGGAAGGGAGAAAAGAAAAGTCAGAGCATGGAAAAGTATTGGATTAGAGGTCTTGATGAGGGAGAAGAATAGATTTAGAAGGGACGAAGCACAAGGAAAGATAGAATGATAGTTTTTCTTTGTTCTCATCCTTCTTGATATTTCTGTTGTATTTAATACTGTTGACCACTCTCTCCTCCTGGATATGCTTCCCTCTCTGGGTTTTGATGTTTTTACTCTTTCTTGGTCTACTCCTACCAGTCTCTGCCCCTTCTCAGTCTTCTTTGCTGGCTTATGATCCATATCATGCCCCCTAACTCCTTGTTCTCAACTTGTTTAATTGTCTACAAAGCATCTCTAATTTTGTCCTGTTGTTCCCAATATTGTCATAGAAAAATACTTCTAAGGAAGTCAACATGGCCCGAGATGAAGTTGATGCATTCAGAGAGAACTATGACAACTTAGTTGCAGAGGACAAAGTAAGAATCATCTATCTATTCCTGTGCATACACAGTTACCTCTGAATTTCTAGATTTGAAGGAAACTGAAAAAAAAATAGAATTTCTTCATGGATTTTTCTCTTTCCAGTTTCATTTTGATTCTTAAGTTCAGGTTCACCTCATTTTGTGACACAGTGTATTCCTGAAAAATTGTACGTGGATTGAATTTTGGTAAATTACATCAATTCCCCTCTCTAGGCCCCATTTTTCTTATTGTAAAATGATGAAGTTGGGCTAGATGATCTTTTAAGATTCCTTCAGGTCTACAGGTCTATAATTCTGTGGAGTAATATTTTAATCCATTATTAAATTCACCATTTAAAAGAAACTGGTGAATCCTTTTGCATAGTGAATGAGCATTCTCTAACATATATGTTTTCATATGTTACTATTAGAATGAGACACAACAGAATTTTGAAGAAGATATGTCAGTAAATAAAAGGTTTCACAATAAGCTGCATTTCTAGTGATAATATATTTTTCCTACAGGTTATAGAACGTGGATTTAAAAAAGAATTTGCTGAACTTAGCAGTCATCATGCCGAATTACTCTACAAACTATTTAAACGCCGGCCAAGGTTAATTTCCCTTTTCTTTGGCCTTTAGCCCTTCGTTAGTATCTTTCTTAAGAATTGTTTTTGGCTCAATTTGACTCAATAAGGAGAATCAGAATTTATTTTTCCAGTATACAAAAATATCTGGTGCAACATCTAAGCAAATGGATTAAAATAATACAATTTTAGACAAATGATTGAGCTCATAAATGAACCTTATAGTTTAACATTGTAAGTAAGCCAATTTGGTGCATGAAAAAATGGAAAGAAAGCATTGGCTGAGTCAGCTTATGCTGACTATGTGCAAGCATTGAGGATAGAAGTAGAAAAGTAAGATAACCTTTGTTCTCAAGGAGATCACATTCTAATAATGTGATGACTAAAAAGGTTTAAGAGAATCATTTCTGGGTAATTTAATAATTTTATTAATAAGGCCAGCAGGTTATTAGTAAAAGGATGGTCATTTGGCCATGTCTCTTAGACCAAAGACCCCTAATTGGCAGTGGGGTCACAATTTATATGCCCTTTGAAGAGTAGGTGTTCCTGAGGGTTGACTGTCAACTCGGGTTGGTTAACACAGTGTGGGAGGTGAGGACTATATTAAAATTAAGGTCTTGGGGTACATGACTTAGGTCACTCAAATCTTGGTCAAAGAGACATCAATTTCTATATCTCATTCCCCAGACCTGAGCAATGAGCAAGAATACACCCATTAGCCCAAACTTAGAATTTCTTTTACTGTCTGATTAGATCTTGACCTGGGTAAATCTTTAAGAGAGATTTCCCTTGCTCCTTATACAGTAATTAGTTATTAAATATAAGATAGAAATGTTCATTTCTCACAAATAAAGAGAGACAACATATAGAAAAGATTTCAGCTACAAGTCATATATCAAGATCCAGTGTTCTTTAGGACACAGTGTGAACCACACGTGCTAATGTCTTTTCTTTAGTACAAGGTTTTGAACCACTTGATAGTGCCAAGGACTTTGGTTGTTCTTCAGTGGCTACTGAACCAATCATCTGTCTTAAGCATAATTCAACATATTTTTAATATATTTTTGAAATTGCATTTAATCTTAATAGTACAAATAATGACTGTAGTTTGTTTTCACAGTTTAAAAGTGATTTGTTACATATTTGTGTATGTGGTACTATTCTATTCACATTTGCCTACTAAAGCTTTCCCTTTGGTCATGTTGTAAAGGTTTTACTACACTCCTAGAAGAGCTGTATGGTACAGTGGATAGAGCAGTAGGCCTGGAGTCAGGATGACCAGAGTTCAAATGTAGTCTCACATATTTGCCAGCTGTGTGACCCTGGGCAAGGCACTTAACCTCTGTTTTCATCAGCTTCCTCAACTCTAAAAAGGGGATAATACCTCACAATGTTGTTGTGAGGATCAAAGGAGATAATATTTGTAAAAAGTGCTTAGTGATTAGCACTTAATAGGTGTTACATAAATGCTTATTCTCTTCTCCTTCCCAGTATACATGCATAAGGCATTGAATGTAATCTTAAAAGAAATCTAAAATAATTTTATACTGAGGAGAATTGCATTGAAACCATTTAACACTAATTTTTATAATTATATGTTCTAATTTCCATTATTCCTAAATTAGAAGGAATATGATCTAATGATCAATCAATCAACATTTATTAAGCACTTATTTATGTGTCTTGTCTAGACACATAAGATAAGGAGGATATATAGGAGTCTAGAGGATTTTTTTTTGTAGCTCCACTAACAGACTTAAACTTGGGACTATTAACTTGAAAAACTTAAACTCTCAATGTCTTAGTTTGTCCATGTTTAAAAATACATGCAGTTAATACTATTCTTTTCACATATAATCTAGTATCTTCAAAGATTCATAGGTTCATAGGATTTTGAGCTAGAAGGTACCTTAGAGATCAACTGCAAAGGATACCTTTTCCTAAGTGATGAACTCAATTTTGTCTCATCTTTGTTGGAAGAACTGGAATATTACTTTATAAGCACAAGCCAAGAAGAGCAGTATAATCAGTCCTCCCACTCCATTCATAGCACTGGAATAAATATCGCAGGTGATTTTCCAACAAAGTAGATATCATTGAAAGGATAGAACAGGGAGGGGTTCACTCTAGCATTTCTTCCAAGCTGAGTTTTTATAGAAGATTTCTCTCTCCTCTTCCTGAATCATCCCACATAGATAAATCTCACATACATACCTAACTGTGCACATAAAGAGAGAGGGGCCTTTTCAAACCCATGATAGTCTCTGGGCTTTTACAAAGAAGGATTCAAAGGGAGTAAAAGAATGTGTTTCTTCCTGTGGTCTGTCCTGAAAAGGAAGCCCAGGAAGTTTGAAATCTTCAGGTTCTCTGGCAGAAGGAAGAAGACATAGCATCTTATTAAGATTCCTACTTAGTATTCAAACTTTTAACAGGAATATGATCTTACTTTGTCTTGGAAGACTTACTATGAATTTGTTGATAATCCCAGGATGCCAAGGCAAAGAGCACATGTAGAGTGTACTTCTCCTTTTGGCGATCGCCTCAGGTCTGGCAAAGTTAAGGATACCCTTGCCCAAATCATGAAAGCCATGGATGATTTGGATGCTCCTCATCATATGCCAGAAGGCTTAGATCCTGAGGTCTGGCAATATTTATGTGCTGCAAGACGCACCAAAATAGAAAACGAACAGAAGGTAATATAGTTTTAATTTTACTTTTGCTTATTAATATGAAATATGAAGGGTGGGAAATATGGCATATCTAGGAAGACATTGTCAATGTGTTGGTTTTGCTGAACTCCTTTTTTACTTCTTTCCTAAACTTTGTTACAAGGGAGAGCTTGATGAGGAAAAAATATATATTCAGATATGAGTGGCGGCTAGAAGGTGCCATAGTACATGGAGTGCTGGACCTGGAGACATTAGCTGTGTGATTCTGGGCAAGTCAATTAATTGCTATCTGCCTGGTTTCCTCATTTGTAAAATGGGGATGAATAGCATCTACCTCCCAGGGTTGTTGTGAAGATCAAATGAGATAATATTTTTAAAGCCCTTAGCACAGTTCCATGGCATATAGTAGATGCTATAGAAATTTTAGCTATTATCATCATCATTATTATTATCATCCTGATATAATAGCTGATAATACTGGAGTGATACAACGAAGTCTAGAATCCTGAAGTCTGAGCTCAGAGAGATTGCCAACTATCACTAGATGAAACAATCAGAATACAAAAAAAGATTTTGACAAGCTAGACTATTACATTTAATCTAACAAGATAAAATTTAATAGGGATAAATGTAAAGTCTTACCCTTTGGTTCAAAAAACTGGCTTCATAGGCATAAGAGAATCATGTTTAAACAGATATTCATCTGAAAAAAGATCTGGGGGTGGTAACAGACTTCAAGCTCAGCAGGAGTCAATAGTGTCACATGGCAGCCAAGAAAGCTAAAGTGATGATCGCCTGCATTAAGAGAGGCATAAGGAAAACCAGAATTTTTTTCTAATATGCAAAAATATGTGGTGCAACATCTAAGCAAACTGATTAAAATAATACAATTTTAGACAAATTATTGAGTTCATAAATGAACCTTGGCCAGACCACATTTGGAGCACAATGCTCATTTCTGGGCATTGATAATCATGAAAGTATCCAGGGGAGGGCAAGTAGGATGGTGAATATTGCCTTGAGTTATTAAAGAAGGATCAGTTGTGGGGCAACTAGATGACGCAGTGGATAGAGCACTGGCTCTGAAGTCAGGAGGACCTGAGTTCAAATCTGGCCTCAGACCAAACATTTGACAGCTTACTAGCTGTGTGACCCTGGGCAAGTCACTTAACCCCAATTGCCTAAAAAAAAAATTCTAAAAAAAGAAGAAGGATCAGTTGAAGGAACTAGTTAGCTTAAAGAAAATTAAACTCAGAGCTTTCTTCAAGTGCCTAAAGAGCTGTCATGTGGAGGAGGAATTGTTCTGCTTGGCTCTATAGGGCAGAACTAGGAGTTTTGAGCAAATTAAAGCTTGATGTAAAGAAAAACTTCCTCAAAATGAAAACTACCCAAAATGGAATGAGTTCTCCCAGGAGGGTGTGGATTATCCTGGGGACTCCTTGGGGTGAGGGTTTGGAGGAGGGCTTCTTTCTCATGTATGGTTTGGACTAAATGGGTCATTAGGGTCCCTGGTCATTCTGAAATTCTGGTGATATTATCCTAGATTTGGTGGTTATGTGAGTCTACCTGACTAGACTTGTGGTAATGAGATTCTTGTCTATTCTATTAGAAAGGTTTTTTTCTCTTTTTCAGGAAGCCACAAAGAAAAATTGTTTGGTTTAAATGGATATACTAGGTATTATTCTTTTACTAAGTTGTATTTTATAGAATGGGAGAGATGAAAAACCAGTGAGGTTGACTTGAAGAACATTAGAAGGATGCCTTCCCCTTCTCACCCCCTCAAAAAACCCTACTGAGCATAATGGATAGATAGCAGACTTTGGGGCTCCATCTCTGACACCTACTGGCTTTGGAGGGCTAGATAAGCCACTTAACCTTGTAGTGTTTTAGGCCAAGTCTTCTTAAACTTTTTCTACTTGTGACCACTTTGGCGCTTCATAAATTGCGGGTCTCTACCCCATATGGGATCATGACAATAGGTAACAGAGAAGTTACAGAGAATACACTTAACTATATTGTCGGAATTTTCTCACCTGGGAGAGTTAACTATATTAATGAAAACAGACCCAGTGTCTCTCTCTGTCATTAAATGCAGAGTCATTAACATATGACCTATCATCTTTTGAGTTATGTTGGAAACAAATTCCAAAACTAGAAGCCAGAAGAAAATCCTATTACTTGCGTATTTCATTTTCATCAGAAAGAAATTTGATACCCACTCCAAGTACTGGCAGAGAATGTCAAAGAAGTTTCAGTTACTTGACATAAGTAGGTAGTGAGTGAGAAGAGTAATTTATTTTTGGTAATACAACTTACTAGTTCTTGTTACAATAAAATTATTTTTCCAAAAAAAGTCACTGAGAAGGTTGTGCTTTGGTTTTTGTTCAGGTAAAGCAGAAAACGGCTGATTTACTGGAAATGCAGGCCTTCCTCCGGAAGAGAATTGAAGATGATGAAAAGGTTCAAATGGACATTGACAAAATTTTCCAGGAACAATTTATGTAATATAACTATTGATTCTTTCAGTCACTTTCATATATGCCTATTTTAAATTATTTTAATTTGGAGGTAAATCTCCATAGTACAGGAGACTAACATCAGCTTAAGTGGACAAAACCTTAAAGTACTTCATTATTATTGTGACCCAGGGCTTTGAGAACTCAAACCTGAGATGAGATTATATGAAATCTGATATTTCAGCTTGGGATTTTTTGACCTGCCCCTTTGCTGTTCTCATTATTGTAAAGTATTCTTAATGTTTCAGTGCAGGTTTTTTTGGCTAACTTCACACAGGGTAAAAATAATAATAAAAATAAACAACAATGAAGTCCTGACCAGGTCCTGGGCTGGTTGCTGGGGATACAAAGCCAGACATGCCTTGCTTACAAAGAGCTTATATTCTGTATAGGCAAGTACACATATAAGTAAATGAAATGTGTGTGTATCAGAAAAGGACTCAGTAGGGGCAGCTAGGTGGCACAGTGGATAGAGCACTGGCCCTGAAGTCAGGAGGACCTGAGTTCAAATCCAGCCTCAGACCAAACACTTGACACTTACTAGCTGTGTGACCCTGGGCAAGTCACTTAACCCCAATTGCCTAAAAAAAAGAATAACATAACATAATAGAATTAGTATAATACATTATAGCATAATGTTGCATATTATATGACATGTGATATATGACGACATAGCATATTATATTATGTAATATCACATAATATAATGTGATATGATATAATGTAATACAACATAATATAAAAAAAAGAAAAGGATTCGGTAAAAGGTAAAGTAGCTGATCTTAGAAAAAAAACCCTCAAGATTCTAATAAATGGAGTTGAGAAGGAAGTGCCTCCCACGTATGGGGAACAACAGTAAGACTAGTTTGGCTATACCATATAGGCTGTAAAGGATTTTATATGCCAATTGTGGATGTTTGTATTTGATGCTATAGGCAACAGGGTATAGGCAGCGAGTTGGTACACTGGATAGAGTGCCAGCTAAAGTCAGGAAGACTCATCTTTCTGAGTTCAAATCTAGCCTCAGATACTTCTAGCTGTGTGACCCTGAGTAAGACACGTAAAGTTGTTTTCCATTTCCTCATCTGTAAAACAAGGAAATGGCAAACCACTTTAGTATCTTTGCCAAGAAAACTCCAAATGGGGTCATGAAAAGTTGGACATGACTGAAACGACTGAACAAGAGTTTATTGAAGGGGTGGGAGTTGTGTGTGACACACGCAGACCAATGCTTTAAGAATAATACTTTGACAGGTAAAGAATAGATCAAAGAAAGGACAAACTTTAGGCAAGGAGACCATTTAATAGACTATTGCAATTAATAGGCTAATGCAATAATCCAGGTGAGATGTATGAGGGGTTGAAGTAGCCTGGTGACCATGTAAGTGGAGAGAAAGGATGAGAAAGATGTTGTGGAAGTCAAAGATTTGGTTTCTGATTAGATATTTGGGGTGAGGAAGAGTGGGTATGTATCTGAAGCTGGAAAGCTGTGTGTTTGAAAATATTTTAGTTACTACAAAGAAATAGGTAAGTTCAGACAAGAAATTAACCCCAATTGCCTAAAAAAAAAAATAGGTTTAGAAGAAAAGATAGTGAGTTCTATTCTGGACATACTGAATTTGAAATGCCTACAGATATCCAGTATAAATGTCTAATGGGTAGTTTGGTGATGTGGGATAGATGCTCAAGAGAGAGATTTTGACTGGATTTATAAATCTGTGAGTCATCAGATTAGAGGTGACAACTGACTGATGAAGTCACCAAGACAGTTTAGAAAAGAAGTAGAAGCCAGTACAGTGCCTTGGAGTATAGCTACAGTTAGGTAACATGATATGAATGTAGGATAATCCATCATTAAAGGAGAATGAGGAGTGGTCAGATAAGAGGAGAGAAACAAGAGGAAACAGTGACATGAAATCACAGAAAGAAAAGGAAACTCAAGAGAAGAGAAGACAGTGGCCAACAGTGTCAAATGCAGCACTGCATTCAAGAAGGATGAGGATTGATAAAAGGCCTTTGGATTAGGAAATTAAGAGAACGTTGGGAGAGAGAAATTTCAATTGAGCTGATGAGGGTGAAAGCCAGATGGCAAAGGTGAGAGGAAAGATAGTGGAGGCAATGAATGTAGATAGCTTTTTTGAAATTTGGTTGTAAAAAGGAGAGAGAGAAGATAATAGCTTGAGAAGACGGTAGGATCTAGTAAGGGTTCATTAAGGATGAGGATGACTCACATTTATACAGCTTTTTTTAAAGTTATGTAGCCTTTTAAAGCTTTAAAATATTTATATAGCCTTTAAAAACATTTTTCTCATAACAATCCTGTGTAGTAAGTAGTATGTTATTCCCATTTTACAGACAATAATAATTTATACTAACAAAAGTTTAGCAATTAGAAAGTTGAGTCCTTCTCTAGTTTAATGGTCTCCAAATTTTTCCAATTGCACTTTTCTATGAGTAAAATATTTTTTGAACATGACCTGACAATATATGTATATTTCCCAGTTTACAAGTCAAATTATCATACTACTGCACTATGAATTGTGTACATTACAAAACTTGCACAAAACTAGAAATGAAAAGGAATGAGATAAAATTAAATAACATTTGATCCCAGAATAGGAAGCCACTGATATGTATCAAGCAGGAGAGTGACATTAGGAAGATGACAGCTTCCTGGAGCATGGATTGGAGAGGGAAGCGTAGCAAGAACAATTAGGAATCTATTGCAATAGTCTAGATGGGAGGTGATGAGGACCCGAACTATGGTAGTGGCTGTGTAAGAGAGAAGGGGAAAGATTTGAGACTTTGTGGAGACAGAAAGAATAGGATTTAGAACCTGATGATGTATGAGATATGGAGAATTTAGTGGTTAGGAGTCTAAATGACACCAAGGATGAACCTAAGTGACTGGAAGGATGGAGTGCTCTTGCTAGTGATAATGGGGAGATTCAGAAATAGAGGTGGTTTGAGGGGAAAGATAATACAATCTATGATGTGGTTTGAAGAACATCCATGCCAACTAATTCTTTGAGACTCACTATGTCCCACCAAAAATGATTTTCTTATCTACCACTACCTCAGAGTATAAAATTAGTCAAGGGATACAGAGCCATTGAGGGGTGCCTGCTATTGCCTGCTATATTCAATGTAATGATCCAAGGGGCAGAGAGTGGATATGTTGCTGTGGGGAGAATTTTCCCAGTGGCACTTTTCTAGCTAATGGTTCAAGTGTCCTGGTCAGCTGTTTTGAGAGGCCCACACAGGGGCAGATAAGGAGAGGTTAGGAGTCTGACCAGCCAAGGGAGAGGGTGGAAAAGGGAAATATGGTTATGGTGAAGATTGGCTATCATGGGGAGGGGGGGATAAGATCCATCTTCCCACTCTCCAACTGGACCCCTTTGAGCTCATGCCTCCACTTCAGAAAGTAGTTAATAAAATGTAAATTGCCAGTCAAATTAGTCAATTTACCCTCTTTTTCTTTAGTAGCAGTTTTTTGGACTTGAATTATTCTAGATAATTGCTTCAACTCTTAGCTCAAATTTTCCCATGTTCATAAAATTTAATGAATCTATAATTATAGTTGACATGCAAATTTACCACTATGGAAATCTCCTGATTAATCATTAAAGCTTCACTGTAAGGAGCAGCTAGTTGATGCAGTGGATAGAGCACCTGCCTTGGAGTCAGGAGCACCTGATTTCAAATCTGGCCTCAAACACTTACTAGCTGTGTGGCCCTGAGCAAGCAACTTAAGCCTGGTTGCCTAAAAAAAAAAAAAAAAACAACCCCTTTACTGTAAGAAAAACAAACTACTCAGCAATTTAGTAATTTGGTAAAAGGCAGGGTAAAGCAAAGATTTTAACATATTTTATGCCTTTTTACCAAATTGCTGAGTAGTTTGTTTTTCTCACAGTTTGGGTTTTCTTCTTCAGATTTAAATCATTTTTGACAGAATAAAAATTTGACTAGTCAAGTATTCTTAATCCTAGAATAATATTTTATGAACCCATTTATGTCCATACCATGCTTTAATAACCCACACTGAATAGAAAGAATGATTATAGCTACTTATGTGAAAACTGATTTGGGGGGAAGTGTCCTCATTATTCAAGTGTTTTGAAAGTTAAATGGCTTAACATGTTCAGTCAATCAACAAGTACTTAGTATGCACCTAGTAAATGCCAGGCAATGCACTAAGCATTGGACATGAAGAGTCTTTCTCCTAAAAGAGCTTATGTTCTAGTAAGGGAGACAACATGTATATAGAAGGTATGTAGAAGACATGCTACAAATAAACTACAAGGTAGCCTTGGAAAGACTTCTCATTTAGTTACTCAATTACATGTAAAAAAAATAGAGAGCAATAACTACAAATTGTTTCTCATTCTTTCTCATCTTAGATTACGCAAGGATAAAAGTAATTATCAGGCAGATCTCACAGTTCAATTCCTATTTAAACAAGGACAAGTGGAAACAGAAAATTTCCTTTTTTCATTAGAATACTCTGACTCTGTTATGATTACCAGGAGTATAATTGAGGATCTGAATAATTCAATCAGGGTAACTATGAATTTTCGGGAAGAGGAAACACTGTAATTGCTATATGAATTAAGAATAATGTTTTTCCTTGTTTAATTTTCACCTTTTCCCCTTCTGTTTTTTTTAAATTTCATTGCTACCTTTTGTTTTTATATCATTTTCATTTCTGAATATATCCCACCCTCCCCACCTACTGAGCCATCCTTAGACTTAAATGGTATTTTATTTTTCCCCCAGTTACATGCCAAGAAAATTTTTAGCATTCATTTGTACAAGATTTTAAGTTCCAAATTTTTCTCCTTTCCTCCCTCTCCTCCCCTTTTCTGAAAATGGTAGGCAGTTTGATATAGGTTATACATGTGCTATCATGTAAAAAATATTTCCAAATTAGTCACCATTGTGAAAAAAGAAGCAGATCAAAATGGAAAAAAAAAACCATGAGAAAGAATAAAATAAGTGAAAAAATGTGCTTCCATCTGCATTCAGAGTTCAACAGTTCTTTTTCTGAATATGGATAGTATTTTCCTTTGTGAGTCCTTTGTACTTGTCTTGGATCATTGTGTTGCTGGAAAGAGCTGAGTCATTTATAGTTGATTATCACACAAATGTGCTGATACTATGTACGATGTTTTCCTGGTTCTGTTCATTTAATTTTGCATCAGTTCATACAAGTCTTTCCAGGTTTTTCTGAAATCTTCCTGTTCATCATTTCTTATTGCACAATAGTATTCCATTACATTCATATACCACAGCTTGTTTAGCCATTCCCCATTATCTCAACTTCCAATATTTTGCCACCACAAAAAGGGCTGCTACAAATATTTTTACACATGTAGACCCTTTTCCTTTTTTATGATCTCTTTGGGATACAGACTTAGTAGTGGTATTTCTGGATCAAAGGGTATGCACACTTTTATAGCCTTTTGGGCATAGTTCCAAATTGCTCTTCAGAATGGTTAGATCAGTTCACAACTCCACCAACAGTGCATTAGTCTCCCAATTTTCTAACATTTTCTCCAGCATTTACCATTTTCCTTTTCTGTCATATTAGCCAATCTGATAGGTATGAGGTGGTACCTCAGAGTTGTTTTAATTTGCATTTCTCTAATCAAAAGTGATTTAGAGCACTTCTTCATATGTCTGTAGATAGCTTTGGTTTCTTCATCTGAAAACTGACTGTTATTTATCAATTGGGAAATGGCTTGTATTCTTGTAAAGTGAGTTATTTCTCTATATATTTGTAAAATGAGGCCATTACTGGAGACACTGGCTGTAAAGATTGTTTCCCATCTTTTTGCTTTCCTTCTAATCTTGGTTGTATTGGTTTCATTTGTACAAAAGCATTTTAATTTAATATAATCAACATTATCTATTTTATATTTTGTAATGCTCTCTATCTCTTGTTTGGTCATGAATTCTTCCCCTCCCCATAGATCTGACAGGTAGACTATTCCTTGCTCTTCTAATCTGCTTATGTCTAAATTTATGTTTTATCCTTTATGTCTAACTCATGCCAAAGGTCTGTCATATCTAACTTTTCTAATATTCTATTTATCTCCTTAGCTTCTTTCTTGTTTATATTTTGCTTGAATTTATCGAGTTCTGAGAGGGGACAGGTGAGGTCCCCCACTAGTGTAATTTTGCTATTACTTCCAATAACTCATTTAACTTCTCTTTTAAGAATTTGGATGCTATACCACTTGGTGCATATATATTTAGCACTGATATTGCTTCATTGTCTATGGTACTTTTTATTTAGCAAGATGTAGTTTCTTTCCTTATCTCTTTTAATTCGGTCTATTTTTGCTTTTACTTTATCTAAGATCAGGATGGCTATCCCTGCTTTTTGTTACTTCAGCAGAAACATAATAGATTCTTCTCCATTCCCTTACCTTTACTCTGTGTGTGTGTGTGTCTGCCTGCTTCAAGTGTGTTTCTTGTAAACACCATATTGCAGGATTATGGTTTTTGATCCACTCTGCTCTTCACTTCTGTTTTATGGGAGAGTTTGTCCCATTCATATTGTAGTTATGATTACTGCCTGTGTATTTCTTCCTCCTGTATGTCCTCTCTCTCTCCTTTCACCCTTTCCCTCCTCACCAGTGTTTTGCTTCTGTCTACCACCTTCCCTGATCTGCCCTCCCTTCTCTCAGTCCCCACCCCCCCTTTTACTTGATCTCTTCCCCTCCTACCTTCCCTGTCAAGTAAGATAGATTTCTATGTTCAACTGATTGTGTATATGATTCCTTCTTTGAGCCAATACTGATGAGAGTAAGGTTCAAGTGATGTTTGTCACCCACCCTCCCATTTCCCCCTCCATTGTAATAGATCTTTTGTACCTCTTCATTCTTCCTCTCCCTACCTTCTGCACCCAGTGTACTCTTTCTCATCCTTTAATTTTTTATGTCATTCCCTCAAATTCACCTTATACCCATATCCTCTGTCTATGTATATTCTTTCTAGCTGTACTATTAGTAATACAATTTTTAAGAATTACAGGTATCATCTTCTTGTGTAGGGATGTAATTTAGCTTTGTTGAATTGCTTATGTTTTCTTTTTCCTTTTTACCTGTTCACACTTCTCTTGGGTCTTGATATTAGAGGTCAAATTTTTTTATTTAGTTCTGGTCTTTTCCTTATGAAAGCTTCCAGTTTTTCCTATATCATTGAATAACCGTTTTCTTCCTTTAATGTTTTATGCTTAATTTTGCCAGGTAAGTGATTCTTGGTTGTAGTTTTAGCTCCATTGTTTTCCAGAATATCATGTTCTATGACCCCCAATTCTTTAATGTTGCAGCTGCAAAGTCCTGTGTAATCCTGACTGTGACTCCCTAATATTACAATTGCTTCTTTCTGGACACTTGTAGGATTTTTTCCTTGACCTGATAGTTCTGAAATTTGGCTATAATGTTCCTTGGAGTTTTTATTTTGGGATCTCTTTGTTGTGATAGTGGATTCTTTCAGTGCCTACTTTGCTCTCTGGTTCCAGGATATCAGAGTAGTTTTCCTTCATAATTTCTTGAAAGATACTATCTAGGTCCTTTTTTGGGCATTATGGCCTTTAGGTAGTCCAATGATTCTGATATTGTCTCTTCTGGATCTATTTTCCTTTTTTTTTGTTTTTTTCCCCCTCTTTTGGCTAGGCAATGGGGTTAAGTGACTTGCCCAGGGTCACACAGCTTGTATGTGTTATGTGTCTCAGGCCGGATTTGAACTCAGGTCCTCCTGAATCCAGGGCCGGTGCTCTATCCACTGAGCCATCTAGCCCTCTCCTGGATCTATTTTCCAGGTCAATTGTTTTTCCCATAATATTATCCCCATTTTACATTTCCTTCCATTTTTTCATTCTTTTGAATTTGTTTGATTGATTCTTGATGTCTCATATAGTCACTAGCTTCCACTTGCTCAATTCTGACTTTTAAGGAGTTATTTTCCTCAATTAGCTTTTGTACTTTCTTTTCCATTTGGCCAATTGTAGTCTTTAAGGAGTTGTTTTCTTCAGTGGATTTTTTTTAATCTCCTTTTCCATTTGGCTAATTCTACTTTTAAAGAAGTTTTACAAGCTGTTGACTCTTTTTCTCATAATTCTTTTGCATCACTCTAATTTCTTTTCCCATTTTTTCTTCTCCCTTTCTTATATGACTTTTAATCTCCTTTTTGACCTCTTCCATAAGTTCTTTCTGGGCTTGAGACCATTTCCTGTTTTTCTTTATGGTTTTGCCCATTGGTGTTTTGACACTGTTGTCGTCTTCTGAGTTTGTGTCTTGGTTTTCCCTGTCACCATAATAACTTTCTATGGTCAGATTCTTTTTTTGTTGTTTTTTTGTTTGTCTCTCTCTTTCTTTCTTTTTTTTTTTGAGCTCTGTACCCAGAGAAGAAGGGGCACAGTCTCAAGCTTCTCGTGCCAGTGGCTACAGGCCCTGTCTCTTTACCTGGTGTTTCACTGATGTTGCCCTGAGGCACACAGGGGACTGTCATGTCTGGTGCTGTGCTGAGGGAATGGGGTGATGGGTGACTGGTGCTGCTGGAGGCCATAGGGGTCTAGCAGCTTACCTGGTGCTGAGCTGGGGTCCTAGTGGTGGTGTCTGGCATGTGCTTAGGGGTGTGTCTGTGTTTCCCCCTGGCTACACTGAAACACATGAAAATCTGGCCTAGTTTCTTGTCATGCTAGAGGACGCCTGTTTGCCCAGGGCTGTGCTGAAGCACATGGTAGTTCTTGGAGCTGGAATCTGCTGGTTCCCCTGGCTATGCTAACGCACAATGGGAGTTCTGGTGTTGGTGTTTGCCTGCTCCATCATACTGGGGCTCAGGATCTCCCACTGGTTTGTTGATGTGGGGCTTGCTGCTAGTTTGCTGGGACACTTCTTGGAATGCATTCCCGTTTTACTGGAGCAAGACAAACCTTTCTTGCTGATCTTTCAAGTTTCCTAGGCTAAAAGATTGTTTCACCCTGTCTTTTTGCCGGTTGTGCTGTTCTAGGATTTGTTTTGGGGCACTATTTTATGGCTGTTTGGAGGTGAATATAGGAGAGTTACAGCAATTTACTGCTTATTCCACTTTGTAATAAGTTTAAAAAGGAAGAGTAAATAGAAAGCAGTCAAGCAAAATTAACCAACAGATCAATAATATGCAGTATGTACAATGTATTGCACCCATATTTGCCCACTTCTGCAAAGAAGAGAGGGAGGTACATTTTCTCAATTCTTCTCCAGACTATGCCCAGAGGGCTATAAAAATGTGCATACCCTTTGACTCAGCAATACCACTTCTAGGGCTGTATCCCAAAGAGATCATAAAAATGGGAAAAGGACCCACATGTATAAAAATATTTATAGCAGCTCTTTTTGTGGTGGCAAAGAATTGAAAATTGAGGGGATGCACATTAATTGGGGAATGGCTGAACAATTTGTTGTATATTAATGTAATAGAATACTATTATGTTACAAGAAATGATAAGCAAGCAGACTTCAGAAAAACCTGGAAAGACTTGTATGGACTGATGCTGAGTGAAGTGAGCAGAA